TCCATCCATCCATCCATCCATCCATCTATCATTGAGATCTCAGATCTCTTTTGCAAGAGTGTCCTGGGCCTGAAGGCAACCTATTAATTGTTCATAATTTTGTATTGTTTTTGTATCATCAGGCTCAAATTGTGATGTTTGTCTTGTACAGATAACTTTCATATCAGCCCTCGTCATTAAAGCAGACGAMTGGCCCAACTGCAGCTCAGCAGGTGTTTACACAGGTGCATTTTAATCAAACTCACTTTGTTTATTTCAGCACTTAGAACTAATTTGGATCAGTTTCTGTTCATGTCTACAGGAATTTAATGATATAATAAATACAATAAACTTTATCGGTCACCAGCTGAGGTGATCTGGCTGTCTGCATGGTTACTGAATGATACAAGGAAAACCATAACTCGTTATCACGGGAAAACGATCCTTGTTATCTCGTGATAGCGAGAAAACCATGGAATACAATTATAAGTGGAAAACGGCTGCTCTCAGTTTCCGTATTGATGAGTCAAACATGTTCAATCTAAAAAGACACTTCTTTTTATTGCTTTGCAGGAGTTACAGGAATACTGTTCCAAAGTTACCCCTAGTCCTAACAATGATAGATTGTTTTCCTCATGTTGTTGTTGTCAACCTGAATCAAGACCTTTATCCGACACATAAACAAACCCATAAAGGCTAATATTTCTGTCAAACTTTCAGCACAAATTCAAAGATCTCATATGAATTGGTAATGCTTTGAGTTTGCTGTTGTGTGTAACTCTCAGATATTATCACACCAGATTTAAGCTTAAKATCTCTAAAATTGACTGAGTAATAGCTGTTTGTTAAAGTCAATCATTCGTGGTGGTCATAATGAATCATGCTGACTCCAAAAAATTAATCAGTTGTAATTGTACATCCAATGATTGCTTTTTAAGTTTTATTAAAATCTGTTCACTTCATGAAATATTTTGCTTACAAACAGTATAGACTGTACTTACAGTATATAGCGCCTTTCTATCCAATCAGGATATTCAAAGTGCTTCACACTACAATCTGTGACCCGTTCACACAGCACTCTACCAGATCTCTATACAAAAATATACAGAGACTAATCAGTGCTTTAATCACATTCATACACTGATGGCACACATCAGAGGCAGCGGGGTTTCAGTGTCTTGCCCAGGGACACTTCAACATGTGGTGGAACAGCAGGGAATGGAACTGCCAACTCTCGCATTAGAGGAACAACTCCCCTAACCACTCTGCCACAGCTGCCCCTACAACAATAAATAAAGTGCATAAAAGCACAACTGCCTGCCTTTCATGGGGGTGGCCAATAAGATTGGCAAGTTTTCCTTTAGTCTCCTCTATCCTACAGTATTATACACATATAATGCTCCATGTAATTAATACCAGCTATCTTTCATTGCTTCTATGATTCASTTGGATGTTTAAACATAAAGTAAAATGGGTTATATGGCGTAAAAAATGGATCTACAGTTTTTAATCATAAAGAACAGTTTGAGCTACCAATAAAGTCTATATCCTTCAATGAAACCATCATGAGTTCAGAATAAACATTATTCRCTGGAAAATGTGAACAGCAAACTGTCACTTTGTCATTGCAGCCATGTTTTATGTGCAGCTCACAATTGAGTTAAGTTGTCAAAAATGTTGCCCGAGGTGGTTTGGTGACAAACGAAGACCTCCTAAACCGTCCCTCCGGGTTTGTTTAATTCGGCACACATGTCTAGTGGATATGTGTTTATATTGTGAGCGATGCACTTTTATAGACAACCATTCCACCATTACGATGACAAATGCACACAATTATTCCCACCCAGAGGTTTGTATTAGTCACTGCAGATGTTTCTGCGCTCACGGGGACACGAGTAGATTCCTTCGAGCTGAACCCAAACCAACCCTCCATCTGGTCCTAATCCTGGGCTTAGCAGAGCTGGCCAAACACGCACCAATAAAGGTTTTATACGAAGATCTGTGTGATTTGTGGGGTTAGGAAATCAAATTTATTGACAAACCTACCCCTAAAGAAGATACGATTTTGTATAAATCGCAAGCAAAACTGAACGCTGTGATTTTGAAATTGTTCAAACACTGGATTTACAGGTTTGAGGTAAAGAACCAAGTATTGGGTTTTTGTCTCAAATTTATGGTTACTGTGAATTTTATTTTAAGAACTACCACAAATATACAGTACAGTATATACTGTATATCAGAAAGGGTCACTATTTCTTTCAACAACTTTTTATAAGTTTTAATGGTGCCTCCACAGATTCACAAGTTGCTCAGTTTATAYTGGTGAACTTCCTTGTAGATCAAAAATACTTCCAGCTGTCTTCTGAAACCAGACCACATAACRTCTATCCTTGATAATAAAATGCAGCATCCAATTTTTGATTAAGGTTTTCTCCTTAGGCTTTTAAGTTGACCTTTGGTCCAACGATAAAGAAGTCTGGAACATTTTCATATRGTTTATTTTAGCTTGTGTTTGTGGACTTGTATATCTGTGTAATGTCATATTAATGAAGATAGTTTCTGTTTTGATTTTTATATTACTTTGGGATTAGATACTGGTTTCTATTACAGTAGGCCTGATTTTTTTTGAAGTCCTGCTGTTGATAATCCCAAATCATTTTGATAACATTTTTAACTGTTGCGAAACACGCACATCTAAGCAGACATTTAGGGTGAATTTCTGCCATAGTTGTCTCCTACCTTTGAGATATAGGCCTTGATGCCTTCGGCCAGTTTGATGCAGGGCTCCCCAAAGAGCTGGGCCAGCTGGTCTGGGATGTCCTGGTCTTTATCCAGAGCGTTCAGTAAACTCAGACACTTTAACTCCTCCGTCACTCCTTGGCTACGCACCTAGATATGCAAAAAGATGGAAAATATATATAAATATAATAAAATACCTAACCAGTTGATTTTGATATAAACTAAGATGCAGAAAGAATAAGATGACACAACTTTCTTTATTTTATAATAAATACAAAACATGCTTATTCCCTCAGCTGGTGAAAATCACTTCAAAGTTATCCCTTTAACAGTCATCTAACACTAAGTCAGAAAGCTCCACTGTGAATTGCCACTCCCAGAGAAAATCCATCAAATAAAATGCCTGCCTAATCCAAAACTTACGAATTTTTCCCTTTTTTCCACGTTTTTGACTAGCACGTTTAAGCTTGTTTCAAAACTTTTGTACCTTAACAAGCAAAAGTATCATTATTTTCACTCCCCATCGTTGATTTCTCTACTTATTCATTTCTGACACCAGACGCAAGTTCATTCAAACCTAATTGCTTSACCTTCCGGTGCCCTCAGGGGAAGCTCACGCACATCCCTGAGTCAAACCTGTCACCGTCCTCCAGCGTGTCATCACTCTCTCTGCGCTTTCAGGGAGTAATCTCATTTTGCTTTCAGTTTTCTCCCACATGTGGTTCACATTTCTGTGCAGCCTATTTGGGTTTCTGCACTGGTACTCTGAACTGTCGTGGAGTCCGGCACTTTAAAAAAATAAATAAATAAAATTTAAACAGCACGCAAAAAGAAGTGAAACGTATATGGGCGCGTGAGGAGCTTTGCGAAAACCCCCCACCACAAGCCCCCCTCACTTTTGAATATATCTTTGCAGCATTTTTTCCAACCTGGCCTGAAACTGGCCTGTTGGAAATCACTTTCCCCGAGCTGAAAGACTCTACAGTTAATGTTACACGAGCTGTGAAACGGGTAACTGACACAATCGTGGTCCAAATGTAACTAAAACATGCGGGGAACCTGAGGATCGCTCTGCTGGAGAAAAACAACTCCTCGTGTAACGACACTGAATGCAACACTGTTCCAAGTTTCTAGCGGAGTGAAACGGAGCGAGGACCCACACAAAAACACAACCATGGGCATCAAACAAGAAGAAGTTTATAAATATCTGTGCTAACAAAAAAAAGGAATAATTACAAAGTTTTTGTTGTCATTTCGGTTTTATTTGGAAGTGGCACCCCATGTGAAAAAAAAAAGATCATGTACTGTAATTTCAGGAGAACGGTAAATGGGGGATGTATGAGAACAGGAATGTGTRGACATCTCTGGTTGTGGAGTTGTGTGTGTGTGGTTGTGTGTGTGTGCGCGCATGTGTGTGTTCTTCAGGGAGGTTTTCACGGTCCAAAAGATTTGTTAATGACTCTGTAACAAGCGCTGATGAACAGAAGGAGATTACAGTGTTGCACTCCCTCAACCTCTCTCTTTATTCTCTTTATTATTATTAATTTCTTTCTGCTTGATCTCTCTTTTCTAATTAAATCCTTTCCTTTTTGGTTTCTTTGTTTTTTCTTTCCCTCTCCCTCTTTTATGAGCTCTCTTCTCTTGACATCTTTGACGGGTTTTTCTTCTCTTTGAGCCTTTTTTTGTTCTCATAACTGTTCATGTTGACGCTTGAACGGATCTGCTTGTTCCGAGCCACGATAACGATGTGTCCATGGTGCATTTGTGTGTGTGTGTGTGTGTGCGTGTGTGTGTGTGTGTGTGTGTGTGTGCGCGTGTGTAAGTCAGGTCTAACCAGCCGGGACGCAACAGGGGTGCATTTTTACGGGAAATGTGTACTTTAAAAAAGAAAAAAAAGAACAGGGGCCATATATCGACACAGTGCCACCTCAAGACAAAATGACTCATGTTCATAATGGATACACATGCCTTTTAAGGGACAAATCCTAATGAGTTTAATTAGATGCACATGCTATTTTTATAGTCAGTGCACTTTCTGTATCCAACTCTGCGTCTGCTTTGGGAAATGTGAGATTCAAAAATGGTCAAAGCAGGACAAAGCTGGGAAAGAGGTTTTATTAAATATTCCAACTTTCCTTTGTTGGTGGCAAACTAAAAAAAGTATGTGAGCTGTTAACACTTAACACACAAAACACTAAGGCAAAAAAAGGAAACAGTTTGCTTTCTAATGGAAAAGAAAAGCAGCGTCTTGTATGAAGAAGGTAAATCTTCAGATTTATAGTTTTAGGAGAGCATTTGGGTTCAGAATGTTTTCAATTCATCGGAGAGCAATAAGTCCACACTTAAGACCAAGACTTCACTGACGCAAACAGTGGAAATGTTTAAAGTAGACCAGGACAAACGTCACTTTTAGAACTCTCTTGTGTAGCTGCATTTTTGCACTAATAATTGAGTTTTGAATTGTTCTTAAATTCAAAGCACGGATTTATTTTATCTACAAAAAGCACTCAAAGAATCATTTAAAATGCACTTTATTATATTTTAAAGTGCCTGTGACATCAAATTTTTAATATAAACATGAATGCATTTTTGGAAAGATAACACTGACAACGTTGAACACTGAAAACAATTTTGACGTCACTGAGATGAACASTTGTTGAGATATTTGCATGTGAAGTAACAGGAAGTGATGTCAAAGGGGAATGTCTGCATGTAAATAAAGCATTGCTACAACGGCTAACAACACCGACTGTAGAGAAAAATCTGATGTTTCTTTACAATATTTTGAGTCACTATCAAAGAGATATGAAAAAGAGTTAAAGTTTAAATGATATTGTTTTAACAAACAAAGAACAAAGATTTTATTTTATTAATGAGTTACCCTTTGATGTCACTTCCTGATTTACTTTGGCTGAGACAAATTCAAAAGAAAATAGGCCAGTTATGTGACAAAATGGGTAAAAATCACATGTATTAGGGCAATTTTCTTAAGTATAAAGATGTTTTCTTAGACATTTTGTATTTGAAGTATATGCATGTCACAGGCACTTTAAACTTCTAATAATGGTTTACAGGCTCATTATTAAATCTAATGGATGCAAAATTATTATTATTGTGATAAATGATAATATTGTTTGGTGACCATTTTGAATTAATATAATGATACCCCTGCCCCCACTCATTTACCCTTGCTTACAAAGTTTATCAATTAAAAAAAAAGTTACCTGGACCGTCCTTTGGTGAGGAAGTTTGACTGATGCCTTGATAAATATTGGGGTAAATTCTTTAGTCAAATGGGACTGAGTAATACTTGTTCAGCTTGGTTGGGGTTCAGAGTGTTCTGACATAAACTTGGCCAGGCCCACTACTGTGGATGGATGCACACCCAACAGGGAAGCATGGAGGTGGCAGCGTGATGATCCAAAGCATCACGAGGGAATGTGTCAGGAGAACTTATCAAAGGGGTTTCAAAGGAATAGATAGTCAGATAGGAGCTGCCATTAGTTTTGGGGTGGCACACCGAAACTAATAGCCATAACGGAATTCATTTTTTTATAATGCTGAAGTCAGAATAGGCTGTTTAAAAAATGCTGCATTGTGGGAGATGGAGAATCAACTTATATATAAAGATCTACTTTAGTTTTCTTGAGTAGGGGTGTCCCAATACCAATAGTGGTATCAATCTCTGGCCCAAAACCAGCGTTTTTGCAAGTTCTCATACTCATACAAAATACCTTGATACACAGGACCAATACCAATACCAGTACTGATATATCAACAGTATGCTGTATATTTTATTCAAAGGGGCTGCAGGAAGGAGAGCCACCTTGTTCTAAATAAAATAAGGGTGTTTTTGAAGTCATTGTGCTTAAGTTCTAACTTAGTAAGTACTTGATATCGGCAAGTACCCAAACTTAAGTACTTGTATTTGGTTTGAGGATAATCTGGAATTGGAACAGTTATTACTAAGTGAAAACAGCACAGTCACTACTTGACTCATTAAAACAAAATTCTCATTTTATATTTATATTTACAATAGAAACAAGCATTTCCTGTCACCAGCTCTGCAAATATCTCATGCAACCTGCATGTGCTCCATTTTGGGGGATTGTTTACAGCYACTACCAAATCAAATTTTAGCTCAATAGCTGTAAAATGTATCGAGTGATTATTGTGAATAATTGAAAAGCTGTGGAAGCCATGATGATTACTTTCTGAGAGTTTCATTATAACCTGTTCAGTGGTTTATGAGGTGTTTTGCCCCTTTAGCCCCTCAATTCACATTCATTGAGTTGAGAGTTGAGAATGTATAAAAAAATTTGTTTCTTTAAAAAAAACGTGAAAAGTGATTAAATAAAAATGTTTAAAACAACATTTTGGACTTTTTGAAGTGTTTTGTAGATACCACTTCAAACAGAATGTAATTTTATTTTTAAATGGCTTATTAAAATGTTTTGCAGAAAAAAAAAAGAGTTTGGAAAAATACGGTTTGGTCATTGTCCTTGTAAATAACGATATGTCTCAAAACCATGTTTTAGAAGAAATATTTGCCTAGGCAGGTAAAGCCTTTTCAAGTTTAAAAGTTTCAACTTGTTGCTTACATCACTGTTTCTTACTCACTCCTCTGTATGTGCTACTGTTCTTTAGGGTTACAATCAGAGGGGAAAAAGACAATGGATCATTCAGGATCATTTGCATACAATTAGACCCCCCCCCCCAAAAAAAAAAAAAAAAAAACGAACAAAACAAAACAAAAAAAAAGTGCTGACAGTGTAGTCCGGGCAGAGAGACAGTTTGTCTTTTGTTAGAAGGAGTGTGATGACAGCTACCACGACAAAGTGATGGGGAGGTTCCAACACGCATGACTGGACCTGAGCTTTCTCTGTGAAACTAAGTATTGTGTCTTTCTGCTGGTTCTGCCAAAACACACTCCCCGTTTCGGTGCATTTGGTTAAAGAATTAATTGTTTTTAAGGAGTCTCTTTGTGCATGGGAAAAATGGGGTTTCCTTCACACACTGAGGATGTGTGTGTGTGACTGCAGATCTGGGTGTCCATTAAGTTTTGACAGTATTGGTAGGGAGTGTTTGATCTATTATGGGAAACAGTTGTGTCCATGTTATTGAGGAGATAGAGTCCATTGCTATCACTG